CTCAAAGATTGTCCACTTAGTGTGGGTCAGAGAAGTTTCTCTGCATGTCTGTGCCAGGATTTACGGACCTCCCTCAGACCCTCAGTGTTCGGCTGCTGTGTGGGACATATAAACAAGGAGCATGGCTTCTCCAGAGACCCCGCTCTCAGCCCCTCAGGCCTGAGCCTGGCCGCAGACACCTTGGCCATGTTGAGTCTTAAGTTGAATTTTCTCTCGGCCCGCGACACTGTGGGTTTGTAGATCGCCTGTTCTCTGCTCATGCATACTCCCCCCCCCCCCCCCGGGTTTCTCTCTCACCCTGCTGCCTTTTTCTTTTCTTTTTTTGTTTTTTCAAGACAGGGTTTCTCTGTGTAGCCCTGGCTGTCCTGGAACTCACTCTGTAGACCAGGCTGGACTCGAACTCAGAAATCCGCCTGCCTCTGCCTCCCAAGTGCTGGGATTAAAGGCGGGCACCACCACTGCCTGGCAGCTGTGCTGCCTTTTGAGGGGTAGGTGGTTCTCAAAGAGAATTATTTGTATACCACGTCACTACTGTAAGAGAAACTGCCAACCTGCAGTGTTAAATTCATTACTTACGGAGCACTGTGCACCGGGCTGAGATGGCTCAGGACTCCATCCTGAGCGCAGTGCAAAAACAAAAATCCAAGCCAGGTTGGCCTGCCACCTTCAGCCCTCTTGGCTGAGCTTGACTCTGAATGGCAGTGAGCACTTGTTAGCTCTCCTGGAAGCGGGGGGAGGGTACCACCTAGCTACTGTCCCAGGGTCTGGTGCAGGAGCTAAGCTGAGGACAGCTTCTTCTGATGACAGTGCCAGGATGTGGGATTGATTGTTCTTAGCCATCTGTGGGCAGGTAGAGCGGTGGGGTCAGAATGACTCTGTCTTGTGACTCCGTTCCTCTCTGGCAGTGGGGGAGAAGGAAAAACCCACAGTAGCTGGCTGCCTTCACCGGTGCTGCGGCACAGACTGGCAGCTCTCAGTTCTGATGCGGTTAGACTGTAGAAGGATCATACTGAGTCACTGCTTCCCATGTGGGGAGCACTGTGTGGAAGCGTGTCAGTCAGATGGTGTGGGATGAGACAAGTGGTCCCAGCCCGCTGGTCTCTGGAACAGACCTGGGGTCTCTGAAGATGGATCAGGAGCTCCCTCTGTAGTCTTCACCTCTGCCCAGTCTGAGAGTTAGGGTTACTGAGAGACAGCTTGTCATGCTCAGAACTTCCAGAACTTGCAAGATGACGTCACCCAGGCAGCACTGCGGTGGGCAGCCTGGGGTGTTGGGAGCATTCACGAGGCTGCTGCCCACTCATCTATAGATGCTCCAGCTGACCAGGCATCCCGCTAAATGCACTCTGATCCAGCTCTGCACGCCGGGGGGTGCACCTCAGAACCCACTCCCAGTCCCTACAGCCGCCACCATTGGTCAGGGTCCCCACGCCCCCAGTCTGGCTGCCACAGGCTTGGAGGGATGCAAGGACAATTCTATTAACCCTAACAGCTTTTGCTGAGTTAGGGATGGCCACTCTCCAGCTCTAGCCTAGCTCTTTTTTATTTTTGAGATGTCTTCTTACACTGTGGCCCAGGCTAGCTTGGAATTCGCTCTTTAGCCCAGGCTAGCCCCTGACTCACTGTCACTATGCAGCTCAGAGCGACCTTGAACTTCTGATCCTCTTGCCTCTGTCTTCCAAGTGCTGGGATAGCTACAACGCCTGGTTTGTGCTGTGCTAGGAATCGAACCCTGGGCCTTGGATATGACAGGCTGTACTAAGTGAGCTACATCCCTAACGCAAATTACACTTTTTTTTTTTTTTGGTTTTTTTTTTTTTTTTTTTTTTTCGAGACAGAGTTTCTCTGTGTAGCCCTGGCTGTCCTGGAACTCACTCTGTAGACCAGGCTGGCCTCGAACTCAGAAATCCGCCTGCCTCTGCCTCCCAAGTGCTGGGATTAAAGGCGTGTCCCACCACCGCCCGGCTACACTTTTTTTTGAGAGTAAAGAAAGCACCAGTAAAAAGCAGAGAGCCGGATCTAAGGTTTTGGGACTACCCTGGTCTACTACAGAGCGAGACTATCTCACAGAAATAAAGGACAAAGTAAAACAAACAAATGTTACATTGTTAGGTATCCTGAGGCTCTGGCTCAGTGGTGATTGGCAGAAAGGTTTTTAGAGTTGTTTTCCCAGGGACATTCAAGGATTGCAGAGAGTGTCACAATCCTATAGGACAGTCCTGCTGCTTGACCTCTGGACAGGTTCTGTACAGGTACCACAGAGCGCACTGCACACTCGGCCGCTCACCTTGGCCATATGGCACAGCCGCTGTCCTGTGGAAGCCCGCCTGAGGGACACCCCAACCCCCAGTGCTGGGGAAGAACACAGGGCCTCCTCCGGCATGTGATAAATTTGCAAACGTAAATCTTGTTAGTGATCAGATTTCCTCTTTGAGTTTAGCCTGGTGCCTGGATCAAATCTGTCGGTGTTTCTTTACAAAGGTCTGAGGCTCCACGTAGTGTTTCTCCCTGATAATCAGGTGGGCATCTAAATGTCCCCCAGCCTATGGTTACCCCATAGAGGGTAGCTTGGACATAGGAGCTCTCCGGCTTTGGAAGGCAGTTCACACAGATAAGTTGTAGGCCTCAGGACCTGAGTGGAGGCAGCTTTAGAGACTCAGGTTAGACAGCATGAAGAACTGGCACCGCCCCCACTGTATCACCTTCTGTGCAGCGAGACCCAGTGCAGCTGTGCCTGGTAGTCGGTTCTGGTTCTTCCTGGCACTGTTGACAAGGACGCCTCCAGGCAGTCAAGTTCAAGGTTCTTGGGTCTGGGCCACGTCACCGCCTTTGTCTCAGCCCCTCCCTCCTTAGCTGACGTTACTGGAGTCACTCAGCAATCGATTGCAAGGAGAGACTGCTGGCTCACTGTGCCAGCTCAGCACCTCTGAAGTTGTAATTGGGCTGGGGGGGGGGGAGGGGGCTTTCTGGAAGGTGAGCCAGAGACACAGGGCTGAGATGCCCACATTCTGGCCCCACTGACCCACGGTCTCTCCACTTCCTGTCTCTTCTGTACATTTGTCTATGAGAAGCCTTCCCTCCAGCTAGAATTGCTGAGTAGGCGGGGCCTTCCAGGGAGCTGGCCCAATCCCTGTGGTGTGCTGGAGGGATGAGCTCACCAGTGGCGTGTGCCAAGGTGTGCGTTCTTGGAGACAGGCTGTGACCCCTGTGTGACTCAGTCTTCAAGTTTATTTACCAGTAACATCCACTTACACACACACACACACACACACACACACACACACACACACAATCAGTGCTGGGACCTTGCCTGGATCTTCCCCTTGGAGGGGACAGCCAGACACAGCTGAGAGGATGCTGAGTGGGACAGTGGGACTGTACTCTCTGGAGCCTGGGGTGGAGGGAGGACGCTTGGAGGACGCCAGAGCCCCTGCCCCACCAGAGCTGCCCAGAGAGCTTCCTGGGTGCCCACATCCGACAGCCCATGAGTACTGGCAGGATCCCTCCATCCAGAGCACAGAGCTAGGGCATCTGTTACTGAGGGCAAAGACCAGTCTCTGGGGATCGTCAGAGCTCAAGTGCTGAGGGTATGACATTGGAGACCCCTCACCGGCTGCACCATAGCCAGTGTCCCGCCATGTGGCAAGGCTGGAGTCCTGACAAGGGAAGCCACTGTGAGCATCTGATGAGGTTGTGCTATGAAGCCCAGCCTTACCCTGCACGTGGCGTTACACTGGAAATGTGAGCTCTAGCCGTCTCTGGGACCCATGGCTTCCTTACCTGTTCTTACACCATGTGCTCACCACTCACTTCGGTCCCAGGTCCCACTGTTGGCTCATGGTCCTTTGTTCGGGTCACATGACCTCTGTGCCTCATCCCTCAGCGCTAATGGAGAGGACATGGGCTTTCCTGGATGTTCTGCCCAAGGGTCCTGGTTAGCCCTTGGGGACAGCACTGTGGGTGGAAGCTGCTCTGTGACGAGGGCTAGTCCAATTAACTGTGCTGGTTGTACCCTCTTACCCCCACCTGAGACCTAAGGCAGGGGGCTGGTGCTTGGTTGAGGTGAGTTGAGTGTGGGGTGGGGGCTGTGGCAAGATGAAGGCTGCACACAACAGTAGCTGGTAGTGGGTGGCGGTGGAGGGGGTGGGAGGGTGCTGAGCACCTTTGTGTTGATGTGGTATTAGAAATGGGTCTGTGATGTCAAGAAAATCACCACATTGTCCAAAGTATTCAGAGAAGGAAGAAGATTCCTTTTTGTAGAAATGTTTGTGGGTGGCTGTGCCACATGAAGCCAGTAGCCACTCTCAGTGGGAGTCCCCACACGGCTTTTATTACAGAGTCAAAGAGAGATCTTACGGCTCGCTCTGAGTGGTCAGAGCTCGCCTCACCCTCTCACACCATTGGCTAACTTAAAGGGACAATTGTTAGCAAAGTACCCTTCATGAGCAGTGTGCACATTGACCCTGCTTTGATCAACGTGCTGACTGGGGAGGGATTTCTGCCAGATGCCTCGGTACAGATTTCTCTGAAGATGGGATGACGTTTGTAACCCTTTGACAGAAGGGACAGTGCATTCCATTTGCGTTTCCCTCAGGGGGACTAGGGCAGTTTACCAAAGGGACATTGGGTGCTACTCTCCAGAGTCTGTTGTAAGGACAGGTCTCGCCATTCTGTGCATTAAGTAGGCCTCTGGCCATCTGGGACCTAACACCAGCGTTACAGACCTTATAAAGGTGCGAATGGCCACCACCATTTCCAGAGTACCGAGTTCCTCAGCTCACTGTACCATGGGTGGCTGGACCATAGCAGAGCAGACGGCAGAGGTGGGCGGCCCCCTACTGCAGCAGGGCCTTCATCTGTGAGCAGAGAGGTCACACAGTGAAGTGAAAGCCATTCCTACCGATGAAGGAATGTCAACTCCGAGTCCCTGCCTGTCACAGTCACCATCTCTGCTGCTTTGTGAGTTCTTGGTTTTACATCTAGCGTGTTTCTTGTTGCAGAGTATGGCGTTTGTGAGAACCTGCGGAAGCTGGAGATCACAGGCGTGTCTTGCCGGGACGTCTATGCGAAGCGTGAGTCTGTCCTCTGTCATCTGCAACTTCCTTTGTACCAGGGCTCAGCAGATAGCAGCAGCCATGACTGTCGGTGGGGCTGACGCTTGCTGGTGTCCTGGAAACGCTCCTTTTAAGTTCATGATGGTTAAAGGCATCCAGGACCTGCATTTCTGTTTACTTAATCTGTATTTTACTTTGGTGCTGCCGGGGATTCAGTGCTAGGCAAACGCTCTCTTTGTCTGTGACCCACACCCCAGCCTGTGTATTCTGTTGTAACATACATGACAGTTGTGTGTATCTGTGGCATGTAGTGATCTCAGTGTGTGTACACAGCATACACTGACCAGATCAGGGTGAACGGCACATCCGTTACCCCAGACATTTATATCCTGCTGGGAGCATTGGTGGTTCTGTCTCAGTGAACAGTTGTCTGCAGTGCTGTAACTCCCACCCAACGATGGCTTGCACCTGTTAGAGACGAGCTGAGAGTGTGGGCTGGGATGAACGCTCTGGCCTTCTGGAGTTGAGTTGGGCCTGCAGCGTGTCGAGCCATCACCAGGCTGCAGGGATGGAGAAGTGGAGCCATGTTCTCCGTCAGCTCCCTCAGTTTCAGGGGCTGCCTCTCCTCTGCGCTCCCCATCCGTCCACAGCTCCGGTTCCCTCTTCTGTGAGCTCGTCAGCCCGGTCCTATTTCCCATCATCTCCCTCACTTCCCAGAGTCTCTTCCTCCCAGAACTCAGTATCCCTTTCCCCGTTAGCCTCTCTTCACAACCTGTGGGGCTCACAGTGTCCCACAGTGTGGTCAGGTGGCTGTTTGGTGGTCACATCTTGGGTGACAGCTACCCTTTCTGACTGCTGAGTGTGCCCGCCTGACTCTCATCATTACAAGCCAGCAGTACAGCGTGCCCGTCAGGAGTGGTAAGCACTAGCAGCCTCGTCCTCACGGGGACAGAGCTGTGGATGTTAGCCAGGTGTCAGTGTCCCGTGACAGCTCACAGAGCACACACAGATGGTGTTTCTCAGAGCTGTGCTCCACTGTCCTGTGGAGAACCCTCCCGGGTGCAGGGTCTGGAGCCGCTGTGGTGTGGAGGAGGCAGGCCGGCAGGCGAGGACAGCGGAGTTCTGCTGTTTGGCTCTGTGAATATTGCTGCAGCCGCAGAGCCAGCCTCTGCCTGCTTCTTAGTACCTGGGTGTTCGCTTTGCATTGGCCAGAGCATGCTTCAGTGGTGAGTCTCAGTGAAATATGGGAGCTGAGAGCCTGAAAGTCTGCAACACTCCTAAACCCGGGACTGATGGCTGAAGAGAGTCAGCCTGAGTCCCTGAACAGGTGGTTGCACCGGCCAGTCTGGATTCAGCAGTGACAGGTATAAGACACATCGTGAGGACACAGACTTTGAGGCCGTGTCTCTGCAGGGACAGAGCCCTAGGGGCCTGTTAACCACATTGCTCTCCCATTTCTGGATCTCAGTGAGCTGTGACAAGGGAGTGAGGGGGCCACAGGGGCCACCTGAGTTTATGGCTGCAGCAAGTTGCAGTAAACGGGGAGACCTGCCCCATAGTGTGCTCTGCAGCCGACCTGGCCAGTCTGCTGCAGCCTGACCCCCAGAAGTAGGAGTAGCAGGAGGAAGAGGAGGCCAGGTTACCTGGCAACTACTCCCATGTGATCACATGGCAGACGCTCACGTGTGAGGGGACCCTCAGACTTTCCTGCTGTGTCCGTTCAGGTATAAACCCTCGTGTGAAGTCAGGACGCTTCATGAAAATTCTCCCCGATTACGAGCACATGGAGTACAGAGATGTGTACACCTGCCGTACGTACCTCCTGCCCTGCACTGTGGCTGCTGCTGTCTGTCGCTGCATGGGCGATTGGGCAGCCGGGCTCACTTCCCACCCCGCCTTTTCCCTTTGCTCTGCTGCAGCTGTGGCGGGTCGTGCTGAGTGGTAGCCTAGGCTCTCTGTGTATGGGCTGGGGTTCCACAGTAGCTTCTACGGTCTTGGGCAGTACTGTAGAAGTTAGGCCTGGTTCTAAATCCCAGCCCCATGCTCCCAGAAATAAGACTCAGACTCAATACATTTTGAAATGCCTTGGCCATATAACTAGGCTCTTCTCTGACTATATCATAACTTAAGATAACCCATTTTTTTTTAATTTGATATTTTATTTATTTACATTTCTTTCTTTTTCTTTCTTTCTTTTTTTTTTTTTTGGTTTTTCGAGACAGGGTTTCTCTGTGTAGCCCTGGCTGTCCTGGAACTCACTCTGTAGACCAGGCTGGCCTCAAACTCAGAAATCCGTCTGCCTCTGCCTCCCAAGTGCTGGGATTAAAGGCGATGATCACTGTTTCTGAGGGCTTATCAGGATGACCAAAATATCTGAGCCTACTTCCCTGTCCTAGCCCAAAGTCATTTTCATGCCTGAAGCCTACCTCTTTGTTCTAGCTTAAGATTGAGATTCCTGCCTGTAATAACCCTTTATTCTAATCCACATTCTGCCACATGGCTGGTGCTCAGGTACTATGCGCCTGTCTCCTCATGTCTTGGGGCATATCTCCTCAGACTGGGTCTATCCCAGAATCCTTTCTGCCTCCCGGATGTCCCGGTTCTATTTCCTGTCTAAGCCATAGGCTTTTTAATTGACAGACAGGTGATGCATCCATACAGGGCCCATGATGCCTTTTCTTTCTCCACAGCGCAGTTGTGATGATTTGGGCAGGAACATCTCACTAATATTTTTTAAGGCAGTCACAGAAAAAGTCAGGTAGAGCAGAGACCAGAAGGCCTCTAAGACTCCTCCGTTCTAAAATAACATGTAACTGGGCTCAGTGCCACATGCCTGTCAGCCCAGTACTCAAGAGACTGAGGCAGGAGGATTGCTGTGAGTTCTGGGACAGCTTGAGGTATAGAATGGTACTACTGTCAAAACCAAAAACAAAATAAGACCCCCCACCCCAAAGAAGACCGCAGAAGAATGTAAACCAATCTCTACATTTGTCAGTTAACAATGTGAGCACACAGACAATTCCAGTGTAGTGTCCCGTCCCTCCCCTCCCTGCCCCCCACGTCAGACAAGGGGTGGATAAACACACTTGCCTTGTAAGCCCAGTTACCTGAGCTGACTCCATCCAGTTGTCCGGCTTCCAGCTTCCGATTGGCGAGTGTGTGCTCACACAAACAAATAAAATGATAATGGATCTTTAAAAGCCACCTGCCTTCTTTCTCTGACTGAGTGCGGAAGGTTTTCTTTGACGCTGTGAGGATGGGAGAGAGGATTTCAGCTGTCAAGGAAGATCAGAGCTGAGATGGCCCTGCCTGCCGGACTGGCTCCTGGTGGAGGCAGGAGAATTAGGCTCAAGGCCGGCTTTGGCCGGATAGTAAGTGTGAGGCGAGTCCTATTTCCAACAACCCCCAAACAAACAAGTTGTGAATGACCCTTTCCTGTCCAACTAAGCAACGACAGACTTGTGACTTGTGTCTCAGAGTGCTGTCAAGGTCTGGACACCAGGTTCCAGCTGCCCGTGGGGACAGTCTCAGCTTTGTGACATGTTGCCTTTGTCTGTCGTGCTCCTGGGCGGTGTGTGGGCACTTTGAATAGCTGCTAACATGCACCTTTGCTTACACTGGCTGGCACAGAGGTGGACTGACAAGGTCATGGCCAGGATACGGGAAGACCTGGGCATGGCGGGGCACGGGACCTGGGCAGGGCTTGAGCTTGGGAGGACTGGCAGTTTGCAGAGGAGGCACTTCCCACACGGTGTTGGACAGGTTTCTAGAACAGTGTGTTCTGGGCCCAGCAGCCCTCCCTGCTGAGCAGAGAGCAGCAGGTCCTGCCAGCCCCACAGAGAGAGCGTGGCTCTGGGAAGCCATGAGAACAACTGGCCCCATGCAGGGCCACGTGAGATTCTTCTGGACGCCCAGCCCTCCCAGAGGTCTGTGAAGAGTGTGGCGTCTTCTTCCCCATCACTGGGGGGTGCTGCTGAGTGCCTGGATTTCAGCCTCCTGTTTGGCAGCAGAGTGGCAGGGTGGGGGTGGCTGTCCAGCCAAGGTTCGAGTACATTTGAGTCATACAACACTTGATAGGGGCATCCCTGGTAGTGAGCCCCTGGTAGCCCATGGTTGCCAGAAAATAAGAAAACAAGGCCCAGCCCCTGACCACTACCCTCTCACTTCAGGCATGTAGCACCAGCTGGGTTCTCAGCAAGCTCTCTCACCAGCCTGCTCTGATGCCTTGCCACACGAAGGCTTTGGGACCTGACCCTACCTGGGTTCTCATCACCCACAGGGGCTGCTGTCTGAGGTGGGACTTGTGTGTAAAGGCCCTTGGACCCCAGGCTTCTGGGCTGGATGGGCTGAGAAGAGCCGAGAGAAGTGTCCCGAGGGTAGGACTGTCCCAGGCAGGCTCAAGGTGCCACAGCTCTGTGCAATGCCGGTGTATTAGAGTATTCAGGGACACCTCTGTCTTTGGATGGAGCTGGTGTCTGTCCTTCCTGTGTGGCTCACTCGGAGTGACTGTGGGTGCCAGGTGATGCCTCTGAAATCTGAGGACAGGGAGGGACTTAGTAACAGAATGTGATGGCTCCTGAGATCCCTGGGCTGCACACTCGAGTGTGGCGGGAAGCCCCCACAGAGCTCTAGACCCTCCCCTCCCCTAAGGATCCTCTAACACTGACACCTCCAGAGTGGCCAGGAGCGTGTGGGGAAGTCTAAAACCGAGACTCAGGGTGAGCTCGTCCTCTGATTCTTACTGGGCACTGTGGACTGCTGGCTGTGACCTGGCGGCCAGGATGAGACAGGACTATTAGTGCATCTTTCCTTTCGACAAGAGGGATGCGTGGGGTCACTCCCGGCTCACCTGTGGTCTGCAGAGACACCTGAAGACATAAACACTCAGTTCTTTTCCATCGTGGGCGGGAGCCATGTTTGGAGTTGTGCTGTTTTTCTGAATATTGCTGAACTGGCTTTGTTCTGGGTGAGCCTGGGCTGTCACTCTGGATAGCACAGGACTCGCCCTGGGATGAAGGTTGGTTCCGTGGCCTTCATAGGCGGCTGTAGACTGGCTACTGGGAGAGGCAGCTCTGGGTGTCCAGCTCTCTCACTGCAGACACTCCTAGGCGTGTGCCCCCCGTTACCCTGTACTCCAGGCTCATGTGCTGTATTCTGTGCTGTGGGTTCAGAGAGAGTTAACGAGGCTACCTTGGGAATCTGTGGTCCCTAGGGTTGGTACGCCTGCAGCCTGTGTGGCCTTGTAGTTCTTTGGAAACGACTGGTGACATCACAGGCTAACCAGTCTCACTCACTGGAGCTGCTGAGGGTGTGACTGGTGGTTGGTGCTCTCACAGTAAGGTGTCCACATTAGTGTACCCTGCACCTGGCCCTTCTCTGTGTGAGGTCTGTGTGTGGCCCTGGGCTGCTTGTTAGGTACCAGCATCAGTCATGGCTGCTTCACTGTATCTAAAGGTCTGAGGGCCTGAGCCAGTGACCCACGCCTTGTCTTTAGAACCCATGTGATGATCTTGGGCTGGACCTGGAGGTGGTGGCGGCAGTTCTTCAGCAGTGTCCAAAGGCTGGGCTGTCCCTCTCCATGAATCCCAGGCCAAGGCCTCTGGCCCCTATCCCTTCATGGTTAACCTGAGTCTGAGCTGTGGTCAGTAGCCGCCTGGGACTCCACGGCCTTCAGGAGCACCCTAATTCACCTGGATGTCACTCTGTGAACAGACACAGTGGCCATGGCGGTGGGACAGGCTGGACTGTCACTTCTAGTGGCTCCTGGTGGAGGTGTTTCCTCTGCTTCGGGAGCATGCTGGGCGAGTGGAGCATGCTGGGTAATTGTGTCCCTCCTCTCCCAACAGTGCTTCACCGATACAGACACATTTTGGGGCTCTGGCAGCCAGATATTGGACCGTATGGAGGATTGCTAAACGTCGTGGTGAGTGGGGGCCTGGTTGTGGTTCTTGTGCAGGAAGGAAGTGCACACACCGGAGATGGGCAGTGAAGCCGCCCCGGGGTTTCCTTTCAGGGCCTGATGTTACTTTCCAAGCAGAGATTTATTGTGAGTAGTGTTTTGGTCTTCTGTCTGTGCCCCTGGACTGTTTGAAGAGCCACAGGGCCCTCAGCTCCTCCTATGTCCTCAGAAGCTGCAGGCTCATGCCTGAGGACATAGGCTTTGATGTGTACTTGTTGACTGAGAGCACCCTGACTGGAGTGACCACTGTCCCTTTGCTGCAGGTGGACGGGCTGTTCATCATTGGCTGGATGTACCTGCCTCCTCATGACCCCCATGTTGGGGACCCTATGAGATTCAAGCCACTGTTTAGAATCCATCTGATGGAGAGGAAGTCGGCCACGGTGGAGTGTATGTACGGCCATAAAGGGCCTCACAATGGCCACATCCAGGTAGAGGAGCGCTGGGTCCCCTGTGACGTGACATGCATGTGCAGTGAAGGGCTGTCTTCCTTTGTCACTGCCCCGGTGCCAGCCTGCTGGGTGCCAGGCACCTTCAGCTGCAGCCTGTCACAGTTCTACCATGATCCTGTGGCTGCGGGGTGTGGTTGTCCAGCTCAGTGCGGTGGGAAGGGTCTTCACCACATTGTGTGAGGCTGTGTGAAGATGGGGTGCCAGAGCCCACTGGAGCATTGCCCCCTAAAAATGTTATTTGGGTGGGCATTTGAGGTAGCCTGTGGGTGTGCATTCACCTGTGTGAGGATGTCTGTGGCATGTGTGGGCGTCCACATGGAGGTGGGACTGGCTTCAAGTTTTCTTTGCTTTTATCTATAAGTTGTCCCTCTTGTGTTCTGAATCAGGGCCTCTCATTGTGACCTGGGACTGGCCAGTCACACTAGTCTGGCTAGTGAGCCATAGGAATCTGTCTGTCATTACTTCCCCAGCTCTGAGAGCACAAGCCTGTGTCCCCACACTGCCACTCAGGTCCTCACAGGTCCACCATAGTCGGGTCAGAGCTATCACCACTGAGGCTGAGTTCTCTACCCCAGCTATCCTTTTCCTTTGAGATGGTTCACTGGGTTGCCCAGCCTGCCCTGGGGTTCACCCTCTTACTTAGGTGGAACCTGGGGTCTCCTGCCTCAGCCTCCCAGGTGGCTGCAATTGCAGGCCTGCACTACCAGACTGGACACATCTGGGTCTCAGTGGGTTTGTGCGGAGGGCAGTTGGTGGACACTAGGACTCATTGTTCCTCCTGGTCCTCTTTCCTCCATGGTCACACTGAAGATTGTGAAGAAAGATGAGTTCTCCACCAAGTGTAACCAGACAGATCACCACAGGATGTCCGGTGGGAGACAGGAGGTGAGTCCTGGAGTCTGGGAGGGAGCCTGTGGAAAGATGTTTGCGCGGCTGGCTGCCTTTTCTCATGGTCACTGGCCTGGCCTCCTGTTGGGTTAGGTAGAGCGTGTGAAGCCCATTGATTAGAACCCTGGCACTGTCCCCCAGCCCTGTCTGTGCAGCGTGCCTGCGGTCCACCTTACAGAAACATCCACCACTTATGTTCTTTGACCAGGCTGAGATTGCTCTTCTGGTGTGGGTAGGGCCGGGAGGCTGCCCATGCAAACCGCGAGAAGCCACTTCTCCATGTGCAGTCAGGGGGCTCTGACAGCTCTTCACAGCTGCTTTCTTCACTCAGGACCTAGGGGCGTGGGTTTCTAGGGCATGGCAGCACAGTGGGTGTGTCTGTGCTGGCCCTCCTGCGATTTACACAAGTGAGTTTATGTTGCTTTTGAGGTTTGATTTGTGAGCGTCTAAGCGACACCACCATCAAGAACTTGGAATGCTTGAGTGTGGGTGTCTGTTGTAGCTTTTGTCATGGCTACACCTGTAGCTACCTTCTCAGTTTCCAGGGTCTGTGGAGACCCATAGGAGTGTTCTGGTGAACAGCGCTTGCACTAGGCGGAGTCCTTGTTTGACAGTGCCATTTGACTCTGGTTTCCTACAGTCTCGCTTGATGCCCCGTGAGACTGTTGGAATTCTCATTTTTTTTCCCAACGTGACCCTTGGTTGTTAAGACCTTAGACAGAGGTCATGGGCTCAGTTTCTGGAGATGCCTGATGGGATTCTGGGGTTCTACCTGGCTCCCTGGCTTTGAAGGGAGTATCTTTCCTGATTACAAATGTAGCGTGCTCCTGACTGAAATGAGGAGTGTGTACTTTACAGGGAGCTGGGTGTCTGGTTAGGAGTGAGGTGGGGAGACAGGAAGTACATCCCTGTCATCACCGCTGGCCGTCTCCTCGGGCTGTTGGGAGCGTAAGATGGTGATTGCCCAGTGCCAGGCACAGTGTGGATGGACGTGAACGTCACTCCTGAGCTGGGTTCTAGGCCCTGATGCTGTTCTTGTGTAGCTGGGACTTGCCCTGGTGATCACTCTGCTTCAGACTGCTCCAGGCCAGCCTCCGGGTGGTTAGCTCCAGTTAGCTCATGTGATGCTGAAGTCTTCGTTTCTCCCACTCGGTTGGTTTTATTTCATGTTACCTATTTGAATCTTATAAATAAAATGTGTTCCTTTTAAAATAAAAACACGTTCTTGTGCTCCTCCACAAGAACAGCCACGGTAATGAAGGGGTTAATTTTGAGGGTGGGGCAGGTTTTACTATGAGCCTGGCTGTCCTAGAGCTTACTGTGTAGATTAGGCTAGCCTCCTCCAGCACAGAGAGAGATGCCTGCCTCTGCCTTTTTAAAATTTGCGTGTGTTTGTGTGTGTGTGTGTGTGTGAGTGTGTGTGTGTGTGTGTGAGAGAGAGATTTGTCAGAGGAGTCCAGAAGAGTGTCAGATCACCTGGAGCTGGAATTAGGTCATTGTGAACATTGATGTGGGTGGTGGGAACTGAACTCAGGAACTCAGGTCATCTGAGGAGCAGCTCTTAACCATTGAGCCATCTTTTCAGAATGAGGGGTTTAAGTGGAGCCTAATTTTATTTAAAAATTTATTTTATTTGTGTCTGTGTATGTGTGTGTGTGTGTGTATGTATGTATGTATGTATGTATGTGTACATTTCTTCAGACACCAGAAGAGGGCATCGGATCCCATTACAGAAGGTTGTGAGCCACCATGTGGTTTCTGGGAATTGAACTCATGACCTCTGGAAGAGCAGTCAGTGCTCTTAACCACTGAGTCATCCCTCTAGCCCCTGGAAACTAATTTTAAGAGAAATTTCTTTGGGTCCCTCTGTTTTATAAAGCCGTATCTCTAGTTTGCAGACTGCCTTCCCCCTTAAAACAGAGGCATGATGGTCTCCTGCTAGTGTCTTGACCCCTTGCCTCAGTATTAGGGTAGAAAAGGTTTTGCTTTGTAGTCATGTCTGAGGCCTCGTGTTTGTTGTAAGGGATGGTGGCTCTGTTGGTTGAAGACTTTCTTCAGTCAGGGCTCGGATATCCCTTGCTGAAAGTGGTCAGATCTTGGTCCTGTCTGTCTTATGACTCCAGGGACCCACCCCCTGTCCTCATGTCAGAGCTGTTTGACACATGGCTGTGTGGTACAGAGAGCTTGTGATGGCTTCCCATTTCGTCTACTGGATACTTTGCATTTCTGTGCAGCTCCAGCGAGGGCTCACCGGCTTCTCAGTGTGGTGAGCTTGTGTATGTGCGGCGGTGGACCTCCAGGTCAGTTTGCAGAGGATCTTGGTCTTCACAGAGTCGAGTGCTCACGTGGTTGTAGCCAGAAGGCCCAACTTGCCCTTCATGCCTTTTCTCGATCCAGTGCTGCTCCGTGGCCTGCACAGTAGCGGGCCCTGCACACACTGTTCTCAAGCCCTTTGTGTGGGATGCTAGAAGCAGAAATCTGTAAGGTTTTGCGTTCCTGTTCTGCTGCACTGAATCTCTGGCTTCCTTTGGGCCCCACAATGGCTCCTGGGTTCCTGAACAGGGGCTAACCTGTCCTCAGTGTTCAGAAGCTGTCCCGAGTGAGCAGGACTTTTAGGACACGACAGCACAGTGCACATGAGTTACTGTGTCTCACACATTTCACACATGCTGTGTTCATGAAAGCCCCTTCTCCATAAATACACATTGAATGGTCTCAGCAAGTGGCGTGGGAAAGGAGAATCCACCCGTCTATCAGATGAGGTCCCCCTCTGTTCCTCATTGGCAGCCACAGGCGGTGGCCCCGCTGGCTGGGCTGGGATGGTGGCCGAGCTCTTCCAGGTGCCTGAAGTCTCCCATCTGTGCAGGGTGGAGCTGGATCAGAGTGGATCACTGTCTCCCACCGTGGGTACAGCCAGCCCCACTCACTGCCACCTGAGACAGGGGTTCTTCCCTGTGACCTCGCTGCCCTCTTGGGAGTCTGAGGCTATGCATCCTGGGAAGGTGGGGACTCTGTTTTTTCCCAGGTGGGCCATCCTCAGACCCAAACCCCCGGTGCTCACAGTCCCTGCCCCCACCTGCTCACCCAGAAGCTTGAAAGTATTTGTCCATTCAGCGCCACACAGCAGACCCTCCCTTCCACCTTGGTGACTCCCACGCCCTTGTTCTCTGAAGGAGTTTCGGACGTGGCTGAGGGAGGAGTGGGGCCGCACGCTGGAAGACATCTTCCATGAGCACATGCAGGAGCTGATTCTGATGAAGTTCATCTACACCAGTCAGTACGAGTGAGTCCGGGCCCTGCGGGGCTGTGAGTTCAACCTCTCTGTGCGAGAGTGTGGCCTGCCTATGGGACCATGCTATCCCCAGTCTCTGGCTACTGTGAACACAGTACTCTCCTCTCTGGGTACTGTGAACACAGTTCTCCCCTTTTTGAATTCTGTGCACTCTGTTTCTTCCTTTTCTGTGTGGCTACTATGGACTTAGTCCCCCTTTTCTGAAACTGCGTTTTGTGGGTGTAGGTCCCCTTTCTGTGGGTGCTGTGAACACAGCCCCATCTCTTACCCTACTGTGGTATCGGTTGTCTTGTGTCACCCCAGCACAGCCATCAAGTGGCCAGTGTGTGCTGAAACCAAGTACCCCTCCGGCTCCTGCCTGGCCATACCCCCTCCCAGTGCTATGGGCATGGGCTCCTTTTCTGAGGGTCAGGCTGAGCTGGGCTGTGCTCATGGGCTTGCCCTCCTAGGCTCTGAGATGCACATGGGTGCCAGGAGGGCTGCACCCAAGGCCTAGGGCAAGTGGCTTAGTCAAGTGGCTGCTCAGGCACGAAGGATGCCACTAGCCAAGCTGAGCCCCTTGCTTCTTCTACCTCCCCGGTGCAGCAACTGCCTGACCTACCGACGGATCTACCTCCCGCCCAGCCACCCTGATGACCTCATCAAGCCCGGCCTCTTTAAGGGCACCTACGGCAGCCACGGGCTGGAGATCGTGATGCTGAGCTTCCACGGCTCCCGAGCCAGGGGCACCAAGATCACGGTGAGTCAGTCACGCCACGGGGGCAGGCGTCAGTGGATGGCCGCCCGTCCTGCTGGCCATGCTGAGTTTTAGGCTCTCTCCAGCTCTGATAGCTCAGACTTCCCAGGTTCTGATATGCTGCCTGGCTAACACCCTTGTGCAGCGAGTCTCACTGGGACCCTCTGCCTCAGCAGGTTCCCCGCTGCTCATGTTGGTGTGACGTGGGCTAGGCCGGGCTTGAGTCTCAGATAAAGCCCCTCTTGTGAGCTCTGGACAGCTGGCTGTACGCGTGCCTGCTCCTTGCCACCACATTCTCCTGTCACTGAGTTCTGGGAGGAGGATCTTAGGTCTCTGTCAAGTCCCTTTGCTCTGGTTAGGATCCAGAATCAGGGTCCCAGCTGTGTGGTGGCACAGCCCCAGCCCCCCAACCCCCTCAGAAACTGAGCTTCTGGCTTGTTATCAGCCAGGCCCTGGGAAGGCCCACATACTTCACAAGTGGGGTCTCTAGGCTCAGGAGCACCTGTGTGTGCCTGCGCTCCAGCCGGCCACCGAGAGTCACTGTCCCGTCCTGGGAGCTGACTCTGAGGGAGCCATCAGACTCTTCTTGCCTTGTGAGATGTGCACAAAGCCTGACAGCTTGAGCATACTCCACAGGCTGGGAGGCCTCTGTGGGTCCCCTTACTGTTGTCAACTGCCCTTTCCATAGGGTGACCCCAATATCCCTGCGGGGCAGCAGACTGTGGAGATCGACCTGCAACGCCGAATCCAGCTGCCGGATGTGGAGAACCTCCAGAACTTCAACGAGCTCTCCAGGATCGTCCTGGAGGTCCGAGAGCAGGTGCGGCAGGAGCAGGAGACTGCCGAGGTCCCCGCCCCAGCCCGGGAGCCTTCAGCCAAGGGCCCTGAGGGACCACCTGCTAAGGACAGCAGAGAGCCTGGCAGTGGAGCTGAGGCAGCTGGGCAGTCAGCCTTGTCTGGGCAGGGACAGCCATTTGTGCTTCCGGTGGGAGTCAGCTCGAGGAACGAGGATTACCCCCGCACCTGCCGGCTATGGTGAGGACCACGGGGCCAGCTCCCAGCCAGCAGAGCTTCGGGTGTTCCCGGGGTGTGTGTGTGTGTGTGTATCCCCATGGGGAGGGGGCGTGTGCCACGGCGTATGCGATGGTCAGAGGACAGCCGTGAGTCAGCTCTCTGCACCCTCACGCTGGTTTCTGGGCTTGAGTTTAGGGTGGGAGGTCTCAGAAGCAGATGCCCTTACCCACTGGGCCATCTCACTGCCTCACAGTCTGCTTTGGCTCAGGGTTTCAGTCATTTGTGGTGGTGGGGGCTGGGCTGTGTTCCTGCCGTAAGTGTGTGGCAGAAGCCGCTAACAAATGAACCGGGAAACAGGCTGTATCCAGTGAATTCTTCCCTGCAGCTCAGACTCACCTGCTGAGTGCTCCCAGCTTCCAGAGCAGTACCAGCAGCATTTGAACTCTGAGCCATGGGATGGGGTGGGGTGGGGCACAGACCACTGCAGATCAAACACAACACCCCTCCTAGAAGGACCTGCAGTGGGATTTCCAAGAGTTCCAGTTCCACTTCAGGTGGCACAGGTGGCAAAGCTTTGCCAGTAGATTAAAAGATAACTTACCTGGTTAGCCAGGTAAGAGAGAGACAAGGAAAATGCCCAAGTAGGGGGAGCAGGGGAAGTCCCTGCTGCAGTGTGCCTGGGTGTCCTGTAGGTGGTGTCACCGTACACATCTCACTTTTGAGTTCAGCTCATGGGGCTGCTTGACTCCTGTCTCTCCTCCCACTACTGGCTGCATCTGGTGCCTTTGAGATCAGCCAGCCCCTTGGTGGCTTTTTTCATAGGTGCCAGCACCGCTGAGAGAGAGGTGACATCTGCCTCCATGTCCACTGTACATGTGGTGGGCCACTAACTCGAAACTGAACATACTAGGCACCAGCTCATGCCCTTTCAGCCTTTGCCTCTTCAGCCTTGGCCACTGCCTTCAGCTTATGATGGGCCCGCCTTGGTCGTTCAGGCTGTTCTGCATAGAGGAATAAGGCCCAGGCCCCTGCACTGCGAGGCAGGGATTCTCTGTGGCCCTCTCTAGGCACTATGGCCTTTAATTGGCCTGCCTGGAGAAGGACATGCTTCTCATCTGAGGAGCCTCTGATCCATAGTTCTGTTCTCTCTGCTCTGCTGGGCAGCCTCAGGCAGTATCCACACCTAGGTGCAGGGAGGGCCGTGGGAGAGCTCCTGGTGGGCCTGCCTGGCATGCCGACCTGTGTTGGCACAGTATCTTCTGGGCCACAAATAGGCAAGTCTTGGTGTCTTGTACACTGATTACCTAAATGGCTCAGGGCCTTGGCCTGTGTCCAGGGCTCCTGTGTGCTTATCAGCGAATTCAGTCAGGAACCCGGAGCCTAACCCTGGCCCTGGAAGGCGAGGCCCTCCTTGGGTGCCGCCCACCTGCGAATTGCTGATGGCGTGGCTGGAAGCTATGGGACTGGCTGTCTGCACTGTGGCAGTGTGTACTGTGTGTTCCCTGTGTGCTGCTGGGGCCCCTTCTGACAGCACGCTCTTTCGTCTTTCTAGCTTCTACGGCACAGGCCTCATCGCCGGCCATGGCTTCACGAGCCCCGAGCGCACCCCTGGCGTCTTCGTCCTATTCGACGAGGACCGCTTTGGGTTTCTCTGGCTGGAACTGAAGTCCTTCAGCTTGTACAGCCGTGTCCAGGCCACCTTCCAGAACGCCGAAGCGCCGTCGCCACAGGCCTTTGACGAGATGCTCAGGAATATCCAGTCTCTCACCTCCTGACCTCCACATGGGCGGAGAGGCTGCGCCGGGACCCGGGTGGGGGAAGCATGCACTTTAGAAATGAACGCAGACCTCCTCACTGGGGTCCTGGTCGCCCCGAGACACTTCTTGTATAGTGTGTAACATACTCTTGTACATTTGATTTGTTGGTAGCTATGAAAGTGAAAGCTAAGCATGGTGGGGAAATAAAGAGTTGAGCCAAGTCTCAGTGGCGGCCGCCTGTGGCACAGGGGTCAGATGGGTGCCTGCAGGTCCTCTGAAGCAGTCGAATCTGTCTTTGGGGTTATAACGCAGCCGCCATGGGTCGTGAGCCACCATGGGTCGTGGGGGCGGGCTTCTGCTGCACCTGTGCCCTTCCGATGACCTAAACAGTCACTGCTGGGAGGTGACCCGATGGGTTTCCATCTCCTCACTGGCTTGCCTAGATTTTGGACAAGGGCATTTCACCATGGCCTGCTTTTCTATCCTGGTTGCTAGGAGCCACCAAGGATTGCAAGGGAGTCACCACTCTGGCCCCCGGTGACCTTTGGGCCACACCTACTCTAGCAGTAGAGTTAAGCTGTCAGGCCAGCCACTTGCTCGTCCCCAGCAGCCGCATGATCTCCCGTGGTCCTCCATACATGTATATCTGGAGGGCCTGCCCTGCTGGACACCACGTCCCTGATGCTTTCCTATCAGGGCTGTGCCTCTCCCGGTGTTGACGGTGTCAGTGGCAGATGCTGTGAAGCCCTTTGTAGGTGAATGGGAGAAGACAGTCCTCTAGGCAGTCACACTTCTGTATGGCCATGTGCCTGGTCTTACCTGCTCAGAGACCCTGTGTGCTAGGGCATGCTAGCATCTGTGATTGGGAACCCTGTCTGAGCCCAGCATTAGTGTTTCCTAAGGACAGAGGCCAAGAGCTCAGACCTTTGGGAGCGCCTGCCAGAGCTTCCAGTGTTAGCATGCTTCTAGGCTGCACTTACCCCCAAAGCTGTTCATCCTCTGTGGCTTCGGCAAGCCCTTGTGCTGAGAACTCATCCTATTGGTGAGGGACCTTAGGAAGATGGCAGCCACATGAGAGTGGACATGAGCTGGAAGGGCCAGTAGCCTCAGGAGAGGTGGTGTGGTGAAGGACCCTTGCAAGCTGGCTTTAGCATGCTGGCTTTTTGTCAGTTGCAACAGAACCTGCAGTGAGCTGCCAGGCTGGGTCTTGACCTCTGGCGTCTTTGGAGAATTGGGCCCCAGGCCTTTTGTTACTTCCTCTGTTAGTCAGGAGAGGCTTTGGACAGTGGTGGATGTGACTATGAAACCACAAGGTCAGTGGAGACCAGGCAGCTGGGCATGCAGGTGGCTCTCAAGCAAAGTATGTGTTACCCAAGGCTTGCTCTGCAGAGGTTCTAGTTCGGGGGTTTTCTTAAGTGTCCTTGACCGCTTCTGGTTAAGTAGGGCAGTCACACCGTATTAGCCAACCACACACTGGCTTTCCTAAACACACTGCTGCGGACGAGGGTTGATCCGGGCTGACATCACTGAAGGTAGTGCAGCCTCAGAACAGCTAGGCCCTGGAACTCTGCTGGGGCAGGTAGACATCTTTGTCCCTGGGGCTCACCAGGTTGGCACTGTTGGCTGGCCTTGTCATTTTGCTGCTCAGGCTGCACACAGCTGGATTTTGAGGAGAAGGCGCCTTGTGGGTTTATACGCTTGGCCTGCCCGCTGTGTGGAGATGGTGTGGATAAGGTCAAGGGCTAGCCTCAGGAAGTTTCTAGAGGGGACTGAATTCTTTCAAGTGGGGGGTATTGCTAATGTCTGTTTACATCCTGATTTGATCAGGCCTGGCGGTGTCAGGACATCGGCTGCCACTACTGAGACCTCAGACATCCGCAGTCTGTCAGTGGTGGGAGCTCTAGACTCCATGTCTCGGTCCTGCCTTACTTGTGTCTCTTTGGCATCAGCTGTCTGGCTCCTTGTGGCATGAGTTCAGGCTCTGGGCTGTCAGCTCTGCATACTTCCTCTTGGGACCTCCCTGTCCCTGCATGTCTGCCTATAGAGTGGGTGCTTGCCAGTGGCTTCTGGCCAGATGCTGCACCAGCCAGACCTTCACATCCTGCGGTGAGGCGCTTGCCTGTTAGCCACCAAGAACCTGGAGCTGAGCACGCTGTGGCCTGGCCAGCTGGGCCTCCTCTCTGGCTGCTGGCTGCCTACCCCAGCCCTCCAGTGGCTCTCTCTGAAGGCTCGCTGTGAACAGTGTACCATCTTTGTGTATGTTCACCTTTTAGTACCTGTGGGCTGGGCATTAGTGGAGCAGAACTATCATGCTCAGCTGTCGGGACTTCACCATCCCCGGGACACCTACATTTCCTAGTTTGGGATGTCTTTCTCAAGACATTGGGGCACAGACGACACCAAGCACCTGACCTGCAGTGAGATGCTGGGTGGAACAGCTGGGTGTGCAGAGCCCCTCACTCTGCTCCCTGCCTTTCTGTCCTGCTGGGGAAGTGTCCTGTGTCACCCTCACCTGGCTTGGATCCACATCCCCAGGTCACCATCTCCTGATGGCTGTGGAAGACCAAGTCTGAGGTTCTGAGGTCTCCAGGGAGTGGGATAGCTCTCTAGAGAGGGTGTAAATGGGATGGGGGTGGGGTACAGTTAGAAACTCTGGGTGAGGCACTAGTGTTCACAGCACCCCACCACCCCAATGGCCCACCTCCCAAGAAGGGTTTAATGGTGGGTCGTGACACTGAAGGAACCTGCCAGGCGCTTCTGTGTGGCTGGATCCTCTGTTTGCACGGAGACCAGCACAAAGCACAAGAATGTGCTTTTCCAGCCTGTTTCTTGTGCTCACAAGCCTGTTTGGAGAGAGGGGTTTGTCTGGAGCATGACCCTCACCCCCCAACTCTGGACAGAGGGTGGCTCTTAAAAGCTCTCTCAGGTCAGCTCCGCTTTGCCTAAGGGTCAGGGAAGGACCCTGAAAAAGGAGCTGCTGTGCTCCTGGAGCCTAATGTCGCCTGTGTCACTCGCCTAGGACGTGTGTGGCTCTCCCTTCAGTTCTCAGTAAACCTGTTTTTGAAGCCTTGTTGTTGTTTTGTTTCTCTGGTGTTCTTCAGATGGAGGTGAGAGCCCCAGGAGGGGCGGCTGGGGCTGTGCATCACACACGCGCTCGTGCGCACTCTCACACACACATACACACACACACACATGCGCACTCACACACACCTCTAACATTTTATATGCGTGTTTTGCTTGCATGTGTACATCATATACATATGCCCGGTGCCTTAAGAATTCAAAAGGTGTCAGATTCCCCTGGCACTGGAGTTGCAGATAATCTTGAGCTGCCACGTGGGTGCTGGGACCCGCATTCGGGTTGTTTGCAAGAGCAGCTGGGCTCTTAACTGCAGGGCTAATCTCTCCAGCCCTTACATGATCTAAAGAGAACCTTCGGCTTTTCCAAATAAGGATGAAGGATCAAGGTGACTCCTTAGAGCCCAAGAAAGTGTGGGTTTGTGTCCCTGTCCTCATCCAGTGTCCCCGAGGGACAATGGCAGTGTGGTGGAAGGAAATCATGTTGTTAAAGGACAGAAATGGGTATGCCTTCTGCCAGACATCCACAGCAAAGGTGACAGCTTTGAGAACTCTGATGTCTGTCTGGGGGTCTCAGCAAAGCCCAGAGGGCCTCAGCCCAGCTACCTTGAGGGCATGGGCAGGCATGGCCAATGTGCATGCATCACTGTTGCACCATGGAATGTTGGAAGAGGTGCAGTATTATGTTTATGTAAAATGTAAGAACAAAACAGCTATATTTGGTCAATTCACACTTAAGCCTCTTTACAAGCATGAAAATCTTAAGTTCTGATCCCCAATACCCAAATGCCGGCAATGCCAGGACTGGGGAAGCAGGGAACGAGAGGGTTGGTCTCTGGGGCCCTCTGAGAAAGTGAGCTCAAAAAGATAACTGACTTAAGTAATGTGAGGGCCCAGGAAGGCAGCTCAGTGGATAAAGCTGCTTGTGCAGTCAGGAGACCTGGGTTCTGATTCCTGGAATCCATATTAAAACAAAACCCAGACGCCATGGTTTGAGTCTAATCCTGGCATTCCATCCCATGGGAGGTGAAGACGAGAGAATCGTCCGGAAGCTCACGTGTGTAGCAGAAGGGAAGAACCCACTCAGCAAAGGTGCCGCCTGACCGCATGCTGATTGTCACACACACGCGCACACACACACACACACACACACACACACACACACACACGCAAACATAAAACTTTTTTTTTTTTTTTGAGACAGGGTTTCTCTGTGTAGCCCTGGCTGTCCTGGAACTCACTCTGTAGACCAGGCTAGCCTCGAACTCTTGAACTCAGAAATCCGCCTGCCTCTGCCTCCCAAGTGCTGGGATTAAAGGCGTGTGCCACCACTGCCCGGCGCAAACATAAAACTTAAAAAGCATGCAGTTAACTCTGCTGTTTTGTGGCCACTGTTGGGCTTCCACTCTCCCCCAGGATGGCACCACTGTTGCAGATGTATCAGAGGTGTCTGTCAGAATGAGACCGTGGGGTCCAGACAGGAAGGTGATAGACGGATGTCTCCACACAGGTCTCTGAGACAGTGTCACTTTCACAGGGGTGGGGGAGCCACCAGGCAGATGCCTACCTCTGAGGTGCAGCTCCAGGCCTGAAGTACTTTAAAGCAAAATATCAGGTGATTCCACCAGATTTTCCTTTTCCTTTCCAGTCTGAACTTGGGCTTTTCTGTTCCATGGGGAACAGCAGGCAGCCTGCCATGAGGGGTGGATTCTGTTTTGGAGCTGAGGTTACAGGTGGAGGCTCCGGGAGGGGTCATGATCTGTCACCTGGCACTGATGTAGCCTACCTCCTAAGGCTGGTGTCTAGTTAGCTCTCCAGTCTCCAAGGCACCATCTTCTGTCAATCTGACCGCCCAACCGTTCCTTTCAAAGAAGTTGTGGTGTGACCTCTAGTGGCTACTCAGGGTCACTGCAGCCCACCGTACCTTAGCAAAGAGGCTGTTTGTAGTAGGTAGGGCTTTCAGGCCATCCTGGGCTTTAAAGCCCACAGGTGGCACGAGGCAGTGTTTTCCATCCTTTGGGGAAGACACTATGCACTGAGTATATTCTCCATCCTCTTCCAGTGGGGAAGATCTCTGTCTTGTCCTGCTTTACCTTGATCTGGAAAGGAAGGTGCAACCTGGGGTTTAGCTGTCACCTCCTGCCT